AAAAATTGTCACCTAGCAGAGTTAGTACAGGAAGAAGGAAATTGCTGGACTGCACAATGAATGACTGAATCTTTTGACAGGACCAGATGCAATGGTCAAACTGAAGCACAGGAGTCTCTGTCTGAACATCAGGAAACAAGTTTTTAATGTGAGGGTGACCAACCACTGGCTCAAATTGGCCAGGGACGTTGTGGAGTCTCCATCCTTGGAGATACCAGAAGCTGTCTGGACATAGCCCTGGGTGATCCTGGGCATCGGCTATAAGTGACCCTGCTTGAGCAGGAAGTTGGACCAGGTGATCTCTAGAGGCCCCTTCCAACATTAACCCTTCCATTGTTATGTTACGTAAATAAAGCTTTAACTTTATTGAACTGCGTATGAGTTAACATTAAAGTTCTGTGATATGCTTAGGTATTTGAATGCTTCCTTACTCAGTGTCATTTCAACATAGTTGTATCTATTGCTTAGTGTTAAATTTTACATTTTCAAATGAAACACTTCAAAGATGAAAGCTCTTGGAGTGACTCTTGAGTTGTTGCTCTTCATAAGGACCATGTGACCACAGCTTGCCCTGCCCTTTCCCCCAGCAGTCTTACGGCTTCAGAGATTTTAGTCCCACAAACATAATTCAGCTGTCATTATTTTGGAAGAGGAGGTTAGGACACTGGCCTAACTTGGCATCTGCTTCAAAAATAACAGGTAAGGAATCCTACCAGGAGGGAATGGGGAGCATTGTGTAAAGTTGGGTAAAGCAGCATTACTAACACCTCAGAAGTAAATGCATAGTATATTAGTTTCACAGTTCCTTGGGAATGTTGGCTTGTTTTTTCAGTTGGACAAAGTTTGGATTATGCATAACCTAGGGAAGTTTCCCTTGAAACTAGATTTCCCCCTTAGTTTTCAGAAGATCCATAATATCCTCAAACTAGTTAGGTCATCACATTTCAGCTGTATATGTGTTTTTCTATAGTAGAAACTTTATGCTGATTTTTCTATAGTCTTAAAACCATAAAATCTCGTAAAACTCTTGGGCTTTGCCTAAACACATTTTTGTTACTTTAAAACAATTTAAAAAATATTTTGAAATCAAACTAAAAGGATATTGATGAAACTATGCCTATTTAAATGTGTCTAAAATTTTCTTTGTAGTTCTCTCAGATTGCACAGTTGTAAACTTGTTTGCGCAGTGTGCAGTGCAATGATGTCTGGTGTCCTGGCTTTCCTTAAAGCACTAGAGCAGTACTGCTACTGCTTAACCCTTTGCTAGCTGTGCTGGTTTAACCATATCTGCTGTAAATCAGCAAATTCTCTAAATTTGTTTCAAACTCAGCCATATGTTTCTGTGGTAGGTGAATTCACTCAGTTTCTAGAATCTGACAAATCAAGCTCATGAAATTTTAACTGACTTCTGTAACTTCCAGTGCTGAGTGGTAGAGCACTTTCAGATCCTTTTCATCTGTCAGGTTTCTTAAGTTTTCTTTGTTAATTGGTGAAATCACACCTATACATTGTCAATTCTAGATGAAAGAGGTGAGGGTTAAAGGTTAATCCCTTGCTGCTTCAACAGTTTTGTACTACTTAGTTTTTCTGTTATAGAAGTTTCAAGAACTTCACATTTGTGTAACAGGACATACGAGTGCTGAGACAATAATACCGTTAACTTGGATATTTTTCAAGCTGGTTGGCATGCGCAAAATTAATAGAAATGTGAACATCTGAGGACATTGCTGCTGTGTTAAAGACAGCAGATGTAGAATGGATAATTAGGAAAATCACTGATTAACCAGCTGTTCTGGTGTTGCAGACTCCTTGACATGGGAATGTTAGTGAGCAGTGTAGGGGAGAGGGCTATATTCAAAAGTACAGGATTGAGTTGCTGTTTCATATAGGATTATTTTAATGACTTTGCAGCCTCACAGCTCACAAAATTGGCAAAAATACGTATATATTACGAAAATATAATACTTTACACTGTGGAGTGGAATCCTCAGTGATGTTAAGAAGTTAAAGACTTCATTCCCTTCTGCTGATCAAATCCAAACTTCTTTGAAGTGGTAGGAAATCTCTTTTTTTTTTTTACCCCCAGAAATAGATCCTCATTTCGTATTAAATGCACGGTCTTACATCTAGGAACATAACTTGTAAGTAAGCAATTTTGATTAAATTTATGAAATGCCAATTTCAGGGTCTTCAAATTCAGACCTTGCTTAAGACACGGGTACACAAAAATCTTTGTCCTTTCTGTGGCAGCTTGGAGCTTGTTGTGTATAGCAATTCCTCATTGAAAGGACAGTAGTGGAGAGTATTCTGTTAAAGCTGAGTATGTGTTACTTGAGATAGGTTGTACTGAAGAGCTAGTTTTTTTTCAGTTTTCCTTGATAATGGCTCAGTATATGCACAATATCAGCTTGTGCATGATGCATGTGTTTATCTCTGAATAGGCATGTTTATCATGCTGTCTGCCTTTTAGAATATTTCAGATGAATTTTTCTTGGCACCATACCCATTTGAGCTTTAATTGTAAAGAAAAGCTTTATCATATGAATAAAGATGATTCAGAGTCTGTTACTTTGAAAAGAACTGTCTGCTGTGTTTCTGCTCACTCTTAGGAATCCCCCTTTTCAGCATGAGCTGCTAGTATACGTTCAGGTCTAACAAAGTAATTAATCATATACAGTAAGGTTTATATAGTGTCAAGAGGTTGGAAAGATCTTAATTTCTTGTGGAGAGAGAATTGTGGAGAAGTTGTTACTGGTTGGTTTTAGAGATTGTCTTCAAAGACATGGTAGATTTATTTGGCTATAGTTATGTCATTAGTATCTACCGGTTGCCAGGATTATGGCTCACTGCTTTCTCTTCAGTAAATCTGGCTGGCCAAAAAAGAGAAGGTAACTGGAAACTGGACTGTGTTGGGCCTTTGGAAGTTTTAGCCTTCCTGGTTTTAGATGCGGGGAGTGGGAGGGAGAAGGAAAGCCTAATTGTTAGGGTCTTCTGATTATTTTTTTTTTTTTCGTAATGCTGAAATACAGACTGACAGATGAGCACTTTGTAATTGTAGCTTCCCTTTAACATGGGTACATACTTGTTAATAGCTGAATTAGTTTCTCCATGTGAAGGTGATGCCCAGGAAATGGATATTTGTCCAGGTGACAAAACCAGTGTCCAGCCTGGTTCCCACAGCTGACAGGCATCACTATGGCCGTTACTGCATTTCACCTGCTAAATTATTTAAATACTAGCACTTGAAAAATTACAGCTCCAGTTATAAAGAGTTAGAGGGCTATGCTCTTCGTATGTGCTTTAGGAATAAAGTATCCGTCTTGTGGAATGTCTGTTATGGATGGAGAACTTTCGAAATCAGATCTGTTGCAAGCTGCACCATGGGGGAAAGGGAATGTGGGATGAAAAGCATGTGGGGGAATTGATGAATTAACAGCACTTTTAATAGGACTCAGTAAAATTGTGCCAACTTTGAAATCATATTTACTGTGAGCTGCTAGCCTCAGCCTTTTTCCAGCTGTATCTGATAAGGTAAATGTTACCTTTATTTTAAGTCTGTGATTCTGTGTTGTAATTTGCATGTATGTCACTCTTGAGTTGTTTTTTGGGCCTGTTCCTGGAGCAAAGATAGCCTGAAAGGTGCAACCTGTGTGTGGCTTTCAAAAGTAATTCTTCTGTAACAAATACTTTACAGGGTATGCTCAGCTCTCTGATCATCAAACAGGACCTCAAGATGTTGATACACTTCTTTAAGAAGACTTCTTAAAATAATTTATCTGAGAACATACAGAATTCTTAATCCCCTTGCACTGCTGTAATCGGGTGCTTTCGAGGCAGCCTTCCTCTCTAGAGCCGTTTTTTTATGGCTCCTTGGCTCTGCAACGTGTTTCTATGTCTGATTCCCCAGACTGACTAATGGATTGTGTTAAACCTTTCAGACATTGCAGTACTGCCATGCTTTTTTAAATCAGAGGTGCTTTTGGAGAAGAAGTGATACAAATTGGGCAAGGGAGGAAGGAATGTTTGTATATGGGTGAGAGCTGTTTTGAAGCCTGAATGGCTGGGGCATGGAGCTGTTTGATTTTCAGACACTTTGGATAACTGTTTTTCATCTAGACTGTAGAAAAAGACACACAGTTCAAGATGGATAACCCTTACTGACAGTTATTATTTGGGCCTTTTTGAATATAATTACAGTAATGTGTGAATAAATGTAATAGGAATAAAATTATACTCTGACTTGCTGTTTGTTCTTCCAACTGCGCTTAACTGCAAATGCAAGCAGATCTGTTCAATAACTTTTAAAATTACAAAATCTTAAACTTTTGCATCAGTTTCTAATGCATTCAGTATTAAAATGTAATGAGACTTCTATGCAGCTCTGTTCTGAGATGTTGTTCTGAAGTAGGACATTTTACTCCAGTTCAGTTGTATTATTTTCATATATAGCTTTGCCCTTTTAAGTTATGCTTGTACCACAGCAGCCTGTGCAACAGGGAGGAGACTATTCATGCTTCCATGCCCTCAGTACAGTACAGTGAGAGCAGTTAGTTTTCAAGGTTCATCAATAACTGTGTTGTGTGCAGGGATCCTAATTACTGTAGAGGAGGATTAAAGGTCACTGTGGCCACATGCACTGACAGGCCTAGAAGACAGTGTTGTGTTTGATATGTTTTAAAAACCCTTGAAAGCTGAATCACTTGGGGCTCTTTGACACTTAATCTACTCCAAGCAGAAGTATGAAAATCTAGGAACTAGTGAATGTTCTTGGAACAGCTGCTTTTTAACTGCTGAGGTAGTAAAAATTAAATGTGAAATCTTTTGAAAAATCTGTTGTAGTAACAACTGAGAGCTAAGAATGTGTAGAGAATAATTTTTTTTTTTCTGGTAATGTGAAGTTTTATTTCCCTGTGTTATGGGTATTTGAAAAGAGAAGCTTCTATATTTATATATATATATAGTTTGAAGTGTCACAGTTACTTACTGTCTTTATTTTTTAGGTTACTGTTAAAATCTTAAAATGCGGATGAAGACTGGCTCGTGCAGAATCCTTCTGCTATATTACACATACAGCAGGAAATCTAAAAGTTTTGTACAAGGTATGTATTAGAGTATTTGGCTTTATTCAGCAACTACTGAAATTAGGAGCCCTCTTTTTATGTTCATATTTGTGATGCACAGTAATTCTGCTTTTACACTTCAAGTAATACTTGCTTTCAGATAGTGTAATTCTTTACATAATTTCTGTCACACATTAGCATGTTTTTAAAGGACTTGACATACATGTACACAGCCTCTATCAGACAGCTCAAAATCTGATTAGCCATCATGTTTCTTGCATCTGAAGCCCATAGTGCCACATTAATATGATGCTGTGGCTGAGCTGCTGGATATTATTGACTCATTGCATTCAGAATCCAGTTTGTATGATCAACATTGTAGTTTTTGATTCTGAGCAGTCTTTGGGATTAAGCCAGTAGGCTTTGGTATGGAAGGCTGTGTCTTTAAAGCCTGAGATAGAGTTCAGTTTCTCTATGTACGAGTAGGTACATACAGTAGTAGGTAGTACATACGGTACTACATACTGGTACATACAGTACAAGTAGGTAGTATCACCCACCCTGGGTGCTAAAAGCATCTCTGAGACTGACAGATGTGAAGCTTTTAAAGAGTAACTTGATTCTATAGTTCCAGTAGTTCTGAAATTCTAAAATACCAGTTCCTTTTCTAAAGTAAAAATAATTTTAAATGGTGGGATTCATCTGAGATGTGAAAGTTCTACTGGTAAAGCTAGAGGCATTTGGGTTAGTTCTCTGTGTGTGTTTGGCCCAGTTAAATGTATTCAGAGCTGTCGCTATAGTTGTGTTAAATAAATAAGTAAATAGAGAATTAGATACATAAGGAAAAAGATTTATTGAGGTATTTATTAATGACATGAAAAATGTCCCTGGCCATGGCAGAGAATCTTCAGAGGTCCCTTCCAACCCAAATGATTCTGTGATTCTGTAGTAGTAGTCTGTATCATTAATTACTAATTTATGTATTGCTAATGAGAGGGGTCCTTTTACTGATTTGCAAGTCAGCTGTTAAGTGTGGGAAGCAAGCAGTAAAACTTCAGAGCGTTGCATGGGAAGTATAAACATGATGGGGTCCTTTGTCATTCTGTAAAAAGCATGGGAAGAAATCTTTCTGCATTAACACATCTGAGACCATACTGTGAGTTATAAATAATACTGAAAAATTGGCCATGTGGTGTTTGATTCCCAAAACTGAAATAGTTCTAAAATTCCTACCCAAGACAGGCAGAATCCTATTACGCTCTCCACACTGTTACTCTCTTCCTATTGTGCCTTCAGATGGAGAGTCGGAGCTCTGCTCCCCTCCCTACTGTTCAGGCCACCTCAGTTAATGCACTGTTTGCCAGGCAGGCTGGTAGTTACCCTTGCTGTTGGAAATAGCCGCTCCCCTGACCCATGCAGTGCTAACTCCCATCTCACCTTTGCAGCTGAAAATGGGGATGCCTTTCACAGAATCTCACAATGACTGAGGTTGGAAGGGTGCTATGAAGGTTGTATAATCCAGCCCTCTGCTCAAAGCTGGATGTCAGGTGGAGCAGGTTGCCCTGAACTATGTCCATTTGGGTTTGGTTTCCAAGGAATGGAGACTCCACCACCTCTCTGGGCAACTTGTACCAGCGCTTGGTCACTGCCATGGTTTAACCCCAGCCAGCAGCTCAGCACCACACAGTTGCTTGCTCACTCATCCCTGGTGGATGGGCGAGAGAATCAGAAGAGTAAAAGGGAGAAAACTCTTGGGTTGAGATAAAAACAGTTTAACAGGTAAAGCAAAAGCCATGCACGCAAGCAAAGCAAAGCAGGGAATTCATTGACCACTTCCCATTGGCAGGCATCTCCAGGAAAGCAGAGCTCTGTCACGTGAAACCATTACTTGGGAAGACAAATGCCATCACTCCAAAGGTCCCTTCATTCTTCCCCCAGCTTTTATTGCTGAGCATGACACCATATGGCCTAGAATATCACTTTGGTCAGTTGGAGTCAGCTGCCCCAGCTGTGTCCCCTCCCAGCTCCTTGTATACCCAGCCTGCTGCTGGTGGGGTGATGTGAGCAACAGAAAAGGCCTTGTCTCTGTGTAAGCAGTGCTGAGCAGTAACTGAAACATCCCTGTATTGTTTTGCTCAGGGACATGGTTTAGTGGTGGACAGTGTAAGCTTTACAGTTGGAGTCAATCTTAAAGGTCTTTTTCAACATAAAATAATTGTACTATTCTGTGTATTATCAACACTGTTTACTCCCAAATCCAAAACACAGCCCTGTAGTAGCTACTGTGAAGAATTTTAATTCTATCTCAGCCCCAACCAGCAGTCCACCCTCACAGTACAAGTTCCTTGATGTTCACAGGGAACCTCCTGTGTTCTAGTTTGTGCCTGTTGCCTCTGGTTCTGTCTCTGGGCACCACTGGGAAGACTCTGTCATCTTTATATGCTCTAATTAGAAGTTTATAAATATTTGTAAGACTTTTGCCCCTCCTTTTCTAGGCTGAACAGTTGCAGCTCTTTCAGCCTTTTTAGAACATGAAAGATGCTCCAGTCCCTCAGCTATCTTCCATTCACTGGACTCAGTCCACTATGTCCATGTCTCTTGTACTGGCAGGCCAACACACAACACTCCAGATGTCTCACCAGTGCTGAATAGAGGGGAAGGATCATCTCTTTCTGTATGCTGTCAGCTTGCTTTGTAATGCAGTACAGGCTGCTGTGGGCCTTCTTTATGGCCAGGTCACAGTCTTTGCTCATGGTGGTTCCTGGACTTAGTGTTTACCAGGACCCCCATCCAGGTCCTTATCTGCCAAGCTGCTTTCCAGCCAGTTGGCCCCATCCTGTCCCAGTGCCTTGGGATGTTCCTCCCCAGGTGCAGGATTTGGCATTTCCTTTTGATGAACTTCCTGAGGTTCTGTTGGCCCATATCTCCAGCCTGTCAAGATCCTGTGAATGGTGACATGGCTCTCTAGCACATCAGCCACTTCTCCCAGTTTGGTGTCATCAGCAAAGTTGCTGAGGGTACAGTGTCCCATGATCCAGGTCCTAAATGAAGATGTTGAAAACGACAGGCCTCTCTACTGATTCCTATGGTACTCTGCTGGCCTCCAACTGCACTTACGTCTTTGATCACAATGTTCTGGGCCTGGCTGTTCAGCCAGTCTTCAGTCCTACCTCATTGTCCATTTACTGGGCCTGTACTTTATCTGCTAGTCAATGAAGATGCTGTGTCAGACAGTGTCAAAAACCACCCTGAAGTCATAGTAGACAATATGCACTGCTCTCCTCATGTTGCAGGTTAAGTTTTACTACATCTGTGTGTATTATGTGTTTGCTTGTGAAACAGCTATGGGAACATCTTTATTTAAGAAGTTAGCCTTTTTGTTAGCATGGGTTGCTGTGCTGCTTGAAATCTGTGTTGCTTGAGATCTGTGTTCTCTGTAACATGTTAGCCTTAGTCCTTACTCTCTAGACTGCAACCAAAGCACCTAGGGGCTATTATTTGACAACCTGGCAAGGTAGATATCTAGCCAACCAACTTGCCAGCACAATAAGATAAGGGTGTCCTATAGATGAACTACGCTCATTATACTCTTATTATAATACTAAAAACAACACCCACAAAAGACCCTTGTCCAGGTGAAGGCCCTTCCTCTGTGCAAACATAGTAACAGAAGACATAATAATGTCGAAATGACACAGCAGATACTACAGTTATGTGCAAATCACTAACCTGTCGCTGTAACTGGGAGTGTACTACCTTGTATTTTTTGCGTATAAATGTAACAACAAAATTGACATGGGGTGTGCTTGATTTGTGGAAATCCCACCTAGCACCCAGGGCTGCAATAAAGAAGTTCCTGCTTCTTAATGCTACATTGGCATTAAGGAGTTTTATTCTCCTGACTTCTGGTGACACTCACAGCCACTGAACTGGTCACCTCATCACAGAGGCTGTCAGGTTAGTATTCTTTAGGGTTTGCAAATGACCCCTTTCCGTTGTAAATCCATGGTGACTGCTGCCAGTTACCTTCTTTTCTTTCTTGTTCTGGAAATGGTTTCCAGTAGTCAATCCATCAACTTCGCACGGCCTGCAGTTCCATGGGTCCCCCACTGGGTTGCAGTGACATCGGTTTTCCCCTTGTCTCAGTTGCTGTGGCCTTTCGGCAGTGCCAGCAGTCGGCTCCCTCAGCGCTGCTGCTGCGCCCCTCCCTTGGCCTAGCCTGTGACCTGTGATCAGTTTTAAGTGTTCCCTAACTCGGACCCTGTTACCTGTTTGATACTGGGGAGGGCTGAGGAGGTGGGAAAACTGGTGCATGCTTTGTTCTGTGGTTTTGTCTTGCCCTTAACTAAGGCGATCCTGTTGTTTTCTATTTGTAGTGAAATCACAATTAATATAAAAATTATCCCCCAATAATATAAAACATAAAAAATATCCCCCAGTAATGTGTAATATACACCAGGCTACAGAAATAAGCCACAAGGATTTACTCACAGAATCTAGAAATGACAAGGTCTCTCGTTTTGCATTTAACACAGTTAAAACTCATTATCAGAAAAGTAGTAATAACAAGAAAAACACTCGATTAGTATTTTCTGACTCAGAAGTTGTTCTGTCCTTCTGCTGTTTTGTCTCAACCATGAAGCTGTTGGGAATTGAGCCTTGCTTGTCGTTATGTCTCAGGCTGCCCCAGCGCAGGAGCTGTGTGGGAGCCCCGGTGCTTGGCAGGCTTCCCAGGCACCTCAGAATTTGTGTGTCCTCAGTTTCCTTCCTGTGAAGGAAGAGCCGATGGCCAAGGCTCCCTGGAGATACAAGTGTTCCTTTGACTGGCTAAATAACGACTCCTTGTCTCTGTGGAGTGATAAAATCCTTTCTTTCTCCTTCCTTATTATTCCTTTGTGTGTGTGTGTGTGTGCGCGCTTCAGATTGCAGTGTGAACCCGTCTGACAGAGCCTGATGGCCTCATTACATTGCATTAAAAACTGAGGGAAGATTAGATTAAAAATATTGAGTGGATCGCATTGATTTTTTTGGCAGTGAGCAAGCTGCAGAACACGGGGAGAGTGAGGCAAATCAGGCACATGAACTAAGTCACACCTGCTCAGTCTGATCTTCCTTAGCTTGTTGCTGGGCAGGATTTGTGCCTTGGTGTGCTGCTGTGTTCCCTCTCCAGTTCTGAAATCGATCAGCATCCAGTTCTGTTCTACAGAAAATGTGCTGGGCTCCGACCTCCTTCATGGTGAAGCCAAACTGTGTTGTTGGGCTGATGCACAGTGCTGGAGAATTCCAGGTAACCTCTTGGAAGGTCTGTCTGGTGTTAGCATTTCCCAGCAGTATTTGCTACTGCATTGCTCTGTAATTCGCTTTTTGAGTTGTGTGGTTTGCTGTCCTGTCCTCTGAAGTATGTGTTCAAGGAAGTTCTCAGTTCATTGTCTCCTGTAATTCCATAGCTTGAAGCGCAGCTGTTCCCTGAAAGTTGTTCTTTGCTTCAGCGAGAATGGCTGGTGGTGATACATGCTCTGAACTGAGGCTGTCTTTCTGCTGTGCCAGAGTGGTGCAAAATGCTGCCCTTCAGGTTAGGATTACAGGGACCATCAGGGGTGAGAATATTACCATGTTGTTGCTCAATAGAGCACCTAACAGTAGTTGTGATGAAATCGATTTCCTTTGTGCTTGTTTATCAGTTTCTTTGTAGCATTTTTGTGCTTTACATGTGGTTCTCCCCCATGCTGTTGCTCTTTGCTCTTGGGCACCAGAATAGTGCTGTTACCATTAAAGATACAGCACCTAGCTGAACAGTGGAGTGGAACAAATTGATAGCTGTTACTCAAGCACTCAAGCTGTACTCTTTTTGCTTGTAGATGGATCTGCCCTGTAAGGCGTGGGCAGTGGCACAGTTTGAAAGGATGGGAGGACTGTGTCCCACTTATACCAGGGACTAGGAAAGACACATCAGAAGAACCTGCAAAGGGTGTCTGCCAGCAGGGTTTAAGATGCTTGTTCCTGGATGAAGCAACAAGTTCCAGGTATGTGATGTCACTGTCCCCCGCAGAGGTGGAGGTGTCCACAGTGCAAAGCAAAGTCGAGCTTTTACTAGTAAAGCTGATGTTGGCCAACTTTGGTGTGTTCCTGAAGTCATGACTCCCTTTCTAGCTAGACTGTACCAGAAGCAGGCTGTCTTCCCAGAAACACTAGTGCTGGGAAATGGTGTTGATAAAAGGGTTAAAGTTTGTATGTACTACAAGAATCAAGAGTAAATGATACATTGAAAGACTTCTCCTTGTTTAAAGCACTAAAATGTGACAAAAGATGCAAAGTGGTGGTTCTAGCTGAGAATGAGGATTGTGTTTGGGTTGCAGTACAGTTTAAAAGAGCATAGGAAGTATTTGTTACCTGAGCCAGCAACAGCTGGAAAGGCCTGGAAGGCAGTGTTAACTGATGGGGAAGGGAGGGCTGCACTGAAATTTCACTGTCCATGCAGCTGAAGTGAAAGTCATGATAAAAATGCCTGCTGCCTTAATGTAGTCCAATAAAAAGATGAAAACCCAAAACCATCAATGAAATGAATAATGAAAAATGAATTTTGATACAATGTGAGTTTAACATTGCACTGTAACATACAGGGTTTTGTCAGGGTTTCTGTATCTATTATAAAACTGATTCAAATTAAACAGCGATTAACAGGATGTTTATTTTCTATTTCCTGCAATCAACAGGCATTGAGCACAGACCCAGGGCCTGACAGGAGCCTCACCAAGTTCAGAAAAGGCAGATGTAAGGTCCTGCAGAGGGCACTGCATTAACCAGCGCTGTGGTGTAGCCGGGGCAGACGAGCTTTCCTCTTTGTTCAGTGCTCTGGGACTGCAGCTGGAGTACTGACCGGTTCTGGGCTCCTGACCACCAGACATACGTGGGAACAGTCCAGTGGAGGTCACTGTGATGATCAGGAGGTTGAAGCCCAGGAGCCAGGGGGTTTGTTATCTGGGATACAGGAGCTCAGGCTAGGAGATCATCTTGCACCAGCTGTGTAATGGAACAGGGTAGAGAAGATGGAGCCAGGCTCACCTTAGCAGTGCACAGCAGTGAGGAAATCATGTATAATTATTGGTGTATCCTAGTGTTGTATCACCGCAGTAATAAAACCTGTGCAGTCACTACTGTCTTGCTGCAGTTAATTGCTTTCCCCACAATGTGGAACCATTGGGAGTTCCTGGTAACCCCTCTTGTTTCAGGGAGGAAGGATACAGGGAGCCAGTCTGGGGACTAGGAGGCGATGTTTGTTGGGTTTAGGGGTCTTGTTCCTGCTGTTCACAGAAAAACAATTCCAGTAGGACTGTATGTCCAGATCTGACAGATCCAGGAAACCAGGGGAAACCTCAAATGCTTGCCCAGCTCCTGTGCAAACTCTTCAGACAGGATGTCTGAACCAGCTTGGTAAAGCTTGTGTTTAAGCCCAGCCAGCAACTCAGAAACACGCAGCTGCTCTCTCACTCCCCCCTTTCTCCCGGAGGGATGGGGAGGAGAATGGAAAGAATGTAACTCCCACGGGTTGAGATAAGAACAGTCTTGATCTTTTGTCCACCAAAACCTTGTTCTTAGCAACTGAATAAAAACCACAGAACAGACTCAGACAAAAACCAGCTTCAAACATATTTTCATACACCTTTTATGCATCTTCAGCAGTGATATGGGGTTTATATTGCCAACTACAAGAGGAAGATGGCTGCAAAATCCATCCCTTAATAAAAGTATTATGAACCCAAATTTTATTTCCATGTCCTGTAGAACTACTCCCTCTCTCTCAAATGCCTCAAGAAAAACATCAAAATCCCCAGCCAAACAAACTCCCTATCAGCTGTTGACAAGCTAATTGCTATGTCAGCTCCTGGACCATGACTATTTTTAGACAGCATTTATGTAAGGTGGACATCAGTTCCTAAACTTTTTGTCCCTGCCTTGAACAGATCCAACATTTACCACAGTGGTCACACACATGCCAACTCCCCTTACATGTACACCAAGGAGTGACTGTGGAAGGGGGAGCCATACACATGGGCACTATCACCCCAGCGTAAGGGAACACTCATGCATGTCCCCTCTCCATGTTCATCATCCAGGGATACATGCAGCAACTAAAAAGACCCAGAGCCATGAGTAGTCCCAAGTGGTGGCAGGGTCAGCCCCAAGCCTCAGCCTGTGCTTTTCACACTGCACAAAATGAGGTGTCAGGTATTTCAGAAGTGGAGGTACCAACTCTGTTAAACCTCAGACTTAGTTCTGTCCCATCACCACAAAAGACACGCAACCATTCTAAACCAGAACAACGCAGGTGGTTGTAGGTTGTGCTGCTGTTCTCGCTTTTTATAGCTCAATGCAATACTCCACAGAACTGAAGCAATGCGCTTTGGTACCCGCTCACTTGGCATCTCTTAAGTATAAAAAAAAGGTTTTAAGAACCTAAAATGGAAAACTGGTTAACTAAGCTTTGTATTAAAAAAATCACGTTTTTTAAATGAATACTTAATACATCGGCACCATTTTGATGGCAAGCACTCAAATACATCAAGAGTTTATCTGCAGGGGTTTCTCCAATATTATAGTCACATAGTGGTATGTAAACTACACATGGCAACCAGAACAGCAAAGGCACAATCTGGTTTTATTTTTTTCTGTTATACTTTTCAAGATGTTGGTTAATTTACAAAGAAAAATATTCTATACTTCATGCAGAAGTATTACATTTGTATTTTACAGCACAGGACCGGTACAGAACTGCTGTCATTTAAATAGTAATAATATACTTAAAAAGCAGCTCTTTGCACTGAGGAACTGGATTCCTGCTTTAAAGGATAATACATTTTCTCATCTGGCAAGCTGAGAACATCTGAGATTGTCGATGTATCTTCTCAGCCTACATCAAGCACTGCCTGCACACTGAAGGGAGTTACAAGTTCTCTAGTTTGCTATTTTTACCTTGTATTTATTTTTCCATACATCCAAGAATGTCAAAGTCAAAAGTACCAGTTGCTTCTCTTAACACAAAAGTAGTTTTTAAACACTGGTGTAAGTAGGAATCCAGCTGTGCTCCTCCTGTGGCTGGGACTATCCCAGTGCCACTGCTGGTGCCTGCAGATCTCACTGTGTTCAGAGGGAATCACTCCAGGCGGAACTGCTTTCTTGGTAGTAGCAGGAACAGTTCCAAATCAGCCCTCCGCAATTCAAAGTTAAATGTAACACAACAACTTAAAAGTGTAAGTTCTGCCCACGGATCAAAAACTATGGCAGTTCTGCATTGTACATAGAAATGTGAGAGTAAGTAGAAAACTTTAGTTTACAAATGGAAAAAATCTATTAAAAAAGACATTTCACATAGTTCACCTTAAATAGTTCTTATATGTACCATTCCACATTGTGGAAAAGCTGAAATACAGAGTCTGGACTCAGCAGGTTAAAGAAAACCAGAATTCCATGTATTGGCACAAATACTTACATCTACATCTGTACAAAGTAAAAAAAGCCGACAGCCCTGTCCCACCAGTGCCTCAGATTCAGCTTCTCTCCAACGCACACTTTCCTACATGGCTGCCAGCAAGGGACAGCGAGATGGGAACACAGTCTTAGGAGCATGGTACCAAAAAGTTCCAAACTGCTCTGTCAGTCTCTAAACAGAGACATCAGAAGTACATCCAAAACAACGTCCGTCCACTCGACATGCTCACAGCTGTGAGGTCACTGCAGCTGCACTCTGTACGCTCCAATCAGCAGCTTTACCTGGGAGAGCAAACAAAGGTTTCATTTAAAGGTCACCCACATGGAACTACACTTTACTATGAGAACAGCATGAGAAAAGGTGTAAAACTGCTAGTGACTGAGGAAGGGAAGAAAAAGTAGTTTACAACCTAGTAAGATCAGTTTGTAGCAGCCCTATGGAAATATGAATGACTTTTAAAAGGACTCCAGTGAGTGGTTGAACAAGTGAACTCCGAAACACACACAAGTTCAATTTCTCCCCCTTTTTTAAAATAAAAATTTAGAAACGCACAATAAAACACTTAAGTGTATATGTTTTAAATCTGATGCTCTAGAAACTTGACTGGTGTGTCTTCTAAGGATAAAAGAAATGCTACCAGAACAGGGTCTATTTATTACTCATCATGCAATATGTAGTGGGACTGCTGCCCAAACCACCTGGAAAATACAATGGACTACACAGCCTACTTAAAAGCAGACTGCACATCCTAGTAAGTACTTCCAAGTTCTCCCAAACACACAAGCAAAAATATCTGTATGCAAAAAATTAATGACTAACAGATAGATGGAGTGTCAGTCAATTCACAATATAGATGAGGAAAATGTTTAGCTGTAACATTGCTTATCTTGGTGCTTGAATTATTTTGTCTGCAGCATGAAAACATTTCATTGTGACACCTGATGCCCTTGGCAACTTTCCTAAGTTCTGGAAATGTCACAGGATGGAACTGCAACTGATGGGAACCAGGATAAGGAAAGTCCTTAAGTTTTACATTTGCAACATACAACTAGAAGCATTTCGACTACGGAAGAGTTACTGTACAAGTTAACATGCACATTTGAGACTGCTTTGTACCTTAGCAGTAGGAGCGTCTGCCAACCGTATAAAAAGCTTGTTAAGGCCTGCAGTGGGGCTGAAGGAATAAATAAAGTGACTGTCCTGAAAGGAAAAAGAATATGGACGAGGTTAATGGCAGGACATGCCTGAAAGTGCTGCGCGAGCGGACCAATACAACACGACATTTTCAGTATGCATTTTTTGGTAAAGTTGGGCATTCTACAAAGAACCTTTTGTGCAGCCACAGAGAAATCAAGAGGACTTGAGAATTGTGCAATAATGCATTTAGTAGATTAAAAAAAACAAAAACCTAAATAAACAACACATTAGAAATACGAGGTAGGTTGTTACGTATTTAAGAATGTACTCAGGTCAAAAAGTTGGGATATTAAACAGTTTTAAACTCACACTTGCCTTCTCAAACCCTTCATTCTGAAGCCACAGAACAATGCAAGGGTTGAGGTTGGAGGGGATATCTCAAGGTCATCTGGTCCAGCCCCCCTGCTCAAGTAGGGCTGCCTAGAAACAGGCTGCCCAGAAACAGGCTGCCCAGCATTATGTCCCTGCCTTTCAAGTCACAAATTTCTATGGAGTCTAGTACATGCAAGGTTTGTAGTTCCCTCCATACACAAAGAAGAATTAAGTTTCATTAAGAAAAAACATTATCAAGATAATAAATGCTTAAATCACAATATTCTAAGTCCAAATTAAGGCACTGGGATTTTCCAGGCTGCTCCATAAAGACTTTAGAAAGCAGCTTTATAGTCAATCCATTGTATGAAAAGACTTACCAAAAAAACAGGGAGCTGGAATTTGTCATTTAAAACCACAGCTTGTACACTGCATGGTCCGCAGAGCCGAGCAACGACTTCTTTACCAAAGAAATTTGAATGGAAAACAAAGAGAAGAATTCCAGATCCTAAAAGGGAAGGCAACTCAGTCATGTGAATTCAAAATGAGATCTTTTATTCAGAACAACTCCATACACTGCACCTCTGAAGACAGATACAAATATAAACATTAAACCGTATATATTAAACCCCAACGGAGTATCCAAGCAACATTCAGAAGTCCCATCTCCCAGGTCAGTGTATCCCAGCGCAGAACACAACTAACTTGGCTCCTAAGTTAAAGTCCTTTGGCAGCAGAAATAATGTTATGTGGCTGTTTGAAAGGAAAGCAAAATGGGTACAGCAATTTCTGGTAAGGTTCACCTCTGTGGGTTTAGGTCTACCTAAGGAGAGTTTTGGAATTTCATGTGGTTTGGGTTCTCTCTTCTGTTGGTAGGGACAACCGAGCCCAGTCCATTTGAGATCTTTATGAACTGTGCTGAAATTCAGTCAACAACAATCTTCAGTACCCACAGATGCCTCATTTTAATACAGAAACTGATATAAGGTTTCTTAATTCTACACCTCTAATCAAGAGCTGGAAGACTTGGGTTACAACTCTCAGCAGCCAGAAAACGGATGCAGCCAGAAAACGGATGCAGCAGCCAGAAAACGGATGACACAACCACTTTCAACCTTGCTTTAAGCAGTATTTCACAGTCCCAGTAATGTAGTATTTCAAGAAAAATTAAAAAGTAGATATTGCCCCAATACAGTCAAAAGGTGAATAAAAATGACTCGGATAAGCCAAGCATCAGAGATTATCAGCTAGATTCCTGAAGGAATGAAGAAACATTCCCAAGTATCTCTGGAATTACATTCCCAGCTTTTTCAAAGGGTCTGTGGGCAAGACAAAGTTGACTGATGCTGACTTCTTTTTGGTAGTATTTTCAGACTGTGTTTGCATCCTATATGTTATGCCTATACTCCAAGATTCCGGTCCATTAGGTACTGCCTACAAAACAAGGTTATCCACTATGAGGTTTTCCAAGTACAGTCTTGGATTAAGATTGTTCAAAAGTATTAAGTTAAACCATTCCTTTCCTGCAACACCTGCACTGAGCTAACGTCACCGTCACAAAGCTAAGGTAACCCAGGAACAGCAGAAAGCAGCTGTGTTTGTGTGATAAAAAAACCTCTTAAACAGAAAGATACACACAAACGCCACCCCCAATACGTCAAAACATCCCTGCTCTCCCCATGCTCCATAATCAGAGCATCCGTAACACAACGTACTGCAGTAAGTCACACACAAATAATTTCACAGAACAGCTGCTTTTAAGACAAAAGGCAATTTCCTAACACCCTTCCACCCATTTTTTAAAAACCAACCAACCAACCCACCCAGCACACCAGCACCCCCCTACCTTCTGGCACATTCTGTGGGGGTTTGTAGTTAAAATCTGTAGAGAAGTCTGGCCCTTCACACAGTCGATGACACGCAATTGGGAAGACTGGCTCCAGTAAAACAAGACGAGCTTCAAAATAATCCCTGATGGTGTCCTCTGCTACTCTTGAGAGCCTAAAAGACCAAACCAGTGAGGCCTGTGCTTCACACAGTAAAATTACTTTAGAGAGTTAGTGAGAGCCAATTAAAAAAAAAAAGAAAGGATTCCAGATCACATTTTGGAATCCTGATTTTCAGGAGTGAATGCCTTCCTCATTACCCATGAACCCCAGGTCCCAACACTTCGTTAATAGAACATTTTATCAGTAACCTGTTTGTGGAATTCATTATCAATCAGGTTCACGAACAAAAGCTGACACAAAAGCACTGCAGCAGATTAAGAAAAAATGAATCTAACTAGCCACATATTTTGAAGGCTGTTTATGCAGCAGATGTTCCCAAACACCAGTATGTACCTGCTGGCTGAACACAGCCACTTCCCTGCATGTCTGATTTATCAACCCGACCGCGAGTACAACACAGAACCAAACAAGTCAGTCACTGGCAATACTATTGAGAAAAATGCAGTTCCCAGTAAAACTTCCCTAATAATGCAAGTGAAAAAGTAGTGACACTACCATTAAATATGGTAGGCTTGGGCTTTTTTGGGTTGGGAGAGGTGTAACTGAAGTGAGCAGCCTAGGCTGCAAAGAGAGGCCATGTGAACCAACGGTGTTTGGCACCTTTACAAGCAGGTTACCGAGTAACCCTCTTCAGAAAGCTGTTTTGACACAAATGGGTTTTAAAGACTTTTGCAAGGCAAAGGTCCCAACTCTCAGCTTTTCCAGCTGTATTCAAGAGCCTGCACCCCTCCATGCTAGCTGAGATTACCACCTGCACAATCTAAACTGTGTCTCATCGGAAAGAGACCACAAGAATCCCCATACCAAAGCAAGCCCAGAAGCCCACGCAACCTAGTTTCCAGATGCCTGACAAAGCTCCATTGAATACTGGAAATTAAGCGGTTGGCTTTTTTTGGTACACTGTCCTAGTTTCCAGCAATCTGTCTTAGAGAAATCCAAAACTCAAGACTACAGCCAAATTGCACTTATCCTTAGATCTACTTAATCCCTTCTAAAATCCAATGCATTTTTAACCATGGCATTCTGTAACGTGATCCACATTTCATTTTTTCTGTGCAAAAATATTCCTCCGTATCAAACCTATCATTTAACAGGACAGCCAGCAGAACCTGCCTCACGGCTTTGGATTATTTTCTGTTGTTGCTTTCTGATTTGATTTTATATTTTGACCTTTTATTCTGTCCCAGGGTGATGTGTACCTCCTCCCTCAGTCTATCCTCACAGAAGCTACTCCGTATTTCTGATCATCTTTTACTTCCACTTCTTGCTTCATGTGGCTTTGAAACAAGGTAACTGGAATAGCATGTGCTATAAGGCATTTTGACACCACAGATTTACATTTTGTTTTCAGCTCCGCTATTACTGTATTACCTTCTTTTTAACTGACAAGGAGCACTGAACTCATATTTTCAGGTAGTAAGGCTAGAAGCTTCCTCGATTGGCAAGAGCTACTACAGTGACCAACTGCTAGGTTTTATGCTTCTAGCACTTTTTTTTCCCATTTAGCCTGCTAGAAGAAGAAAACGTTCCTTATACCTTCTATCTCCCCAGGACAGACATTCAAAACAGGAACTTACAATACCTCAGATAAGCTTTACAGTGCATTGAAAATACTGGCATCACAATACTTTCCTCCCAGTATAAAACTGGGTCAGAACACATTAGTTCAGCAAAAATCAGCAGCACATCTATCTGGAAGCCAGTCACTCCTGGTGTACCCCGAGTCAATACTGGTCTGGTCCTGTGTGACATCTTCATGTATGACCTGGATGATGAGGCAGTGTACCCTCAACAACTTAGCAGGTAACGCCAAACTGGGAGGAATGGCTGGTACACCAGCGGGTCATGCTGCCATCCAGAGGGACCCAACAGGTTGGAGAAATGGGTTGACGTGAACCTTGTGCAGTTCAACAAGGAAGTACAAAGTCTTGTACATGGGGAAGAACATCCCCAGGCACTAGGCCATGCTGGGAGTCACCCAGCTGGAAAGCAGCTTGGCAGAAAAGGACCTGGTGGACACCATGCTTTGAACATGAGCCAGCAACATGCTCTTGCTGCAAAGGCAGTCAATGCTATCCTATGCTGTATTAGGCAAAGTATTGCCAGCAGGTCAAGGGAGGTGATCACTGGTGAGATCACACTTGAACGCTGTGTGCAGTTCCTCCTCACTACAAGAGATACATGGATATGCTGAAGAGAGCACAATGAAGGGCCACAAAGACGTTGAAGGAACCAGAGCATCTGACATACGAGAGAGGCTGGGAGAACTGTGACTGCTGAGCCTGGAGAAAGGAAGTCTCAGGGGGATCTTATCAATGTATATGTATCAATAAACACCTGAAGTGACGGGATAAAGAGGACAGAGCTGGGCTCTTTTCAGTGATGCCCGAGGAGCAGTGGGCACAAACTAAAACATGGAAAGTTTCCTCTGAACATCACAAGACATGTTTTTACTGTGAGGGTGATGAAGCACTGACACATGCTGCCTGGAATGATTATGAGGTCCTCATCCTTGGAGATATTCAAACAACACCTGGACAGGGTCCTGGTCAGCCAGCTCTAGGTGGCCCTGCTTTACGTCCGTCGTCATCTAACATCCCTGTTCATCAGCTCAGAATATTTTTCATGACCAGATGACATGAGCACATCACCACACACTGCACTGCTCTTCAGTATTCTGCTGCACTTTCATCATTTACTGATTTACTTTCATCATTCACTGCCATGAAAGCTTTACCCCTGGCACTCCAGTTCACCACTGGCTTTTAAGGGTATAACAACAACCTAACTATCTGCACAACTTTCCATGGTGTTTCTGTAAGGTGTTCTTTTGTTTGAAAGTGTTTTATTTGGCATGCCCTAATAAGAGTTTACATTCAACAGTCCAGTGCTTATACACTTCAGATTCCTTGAACTAGAAATACAGCAATCTGGAAAAAAAATTTCTCTTCTACCAATTCTCTCTTTTCCTCCTTTCCATTTTTTTTTTACTCTGTGTCTAAGCAAGCATCTCCTAATTCTGTTAGCTCACATCGTCTTAATTTCACATGATTTATTTATTAGTTTTCTGCCCAAATCAGACCCGTTTTCTTTCCTGAAATCTCCAACTCTTCCCAGGACTTAAACTAAAATTATGACATGGCCAGAACTGCAAGCTTCACCAGAACAAACTTCAAAGTACAGTTTACTCACGTTTCCAAATGACTCTTGAGCTGCTCATACACCAGTAGGTTATTGCACTGTTTAGCAAAATGCAGCGCACTGTTCTGGTGTTTTGACAAAATGTTACAGTCCGCTCCGCTTTCAATCATAAGCCGCACTATGTCTGAATTTCCTCTTTTACAAGCCTGTGTTGAAAGTGAGAAGATGGAAGGATGGACAACAATGATAAATCCCTCATTAGAACAGAGCATAGCACTGGAGTAAACAGAACTGCAGGAATGAATTAAAATCCAAAATTAGGAACAAATTCAGAAAACATACAAGCAGCAACACTCAGAGTTATCAAGTGGGCTTAACTGGAATAAAAATAGATTAAAGAACAATTTTGTGACAACACCCAATCTTCTACGGTTCAGTAACTGCGAACGTCTTTAAATGGGTTTCTGCAGTAGTATTCAGAACAACTAAAAGAAACACTTCAAAGTGTCTGTTTCTAGGAAGCTCAGTTCAAATGATACTTCAGGGGTGCAGAAAATTAATACAGCTCGACCCAAATTGTTATTTAGTTATGTTAGACAGTCACTGTGATTAACAAGAATGTCAGGGCATGTCAAGCAAAGACTTGACAGAAGTACAGGAAAGTCTGAAGACAGCTCTACTTTGAAGAATGCAAACATGTTCTTCATTTTCAAACGCTTCACTCAGACAAATTAGGGAAAGGCCAAGAGGTTTAAATTTCTATCTTCATGGTGCCTATCCAAAGTTCCCTCTGAAATTTCTCTCAGCTCTGAACTTCAATCTGTGCCTTCAAACCATAATCTTCCATAAATAAACCAACCCACCTGCCCCTCACACAAAAAACCCACAAAAATCACACACCACCTCAGAGAAAAGAATGGAGTGCCAAGACTTCCTCCCCACCCTCTTTTTAAAAGTATGATCCAGTTCCTGAGGTTAAATAACAGTGACCTGATAAACACACTTATGTGTTTATCCCCACATCTAAACTTGTTCCAGTAAGTCACTGGCAATGAAGACCTTTGTATCTGCACAGCGAAACAAATATCCAGACTAAGTCACCGTAGGCTGCCAATTAGAAAGTATGTACAGCTGTGCAGCAAATTACTAATAAAACCTTTAAAAACAAGAAAAGTCAAAGCTGAGGTTCATGGAGGCAGCCAAATTATGAAGAGATTTTATACTGATGTGGATGAGGAAACCACAAGGGTGTTATTTTCTTCACAGAAAATATGAATTCCGCACACTTGTTCATCCTTGCAGAGGATAGAAGAGAAACAATACCACACTGTTGGACAGAAAAGCTTTTGTAACCTTTTCTGCAAACAAACTGCCTTAAACAGCCTATGTATAAACACAGCGAGTCTATCAAGAAGGGGAACTTGGTGAAAATACTAAGAGGAGCACAGACTGTTTTAAGGGTGTTAGAATTCTCCCATTACAAAACAAATAAATAAAGTATCTCCTTTGTGATGAGGAGGGGTAAATGTGGAGAACAGGCAGTGGGAAGGAGACTGCAAACACATTATTTTATTTCTGGCCTGCAATGTAATGATAAAAGTCAATCACAGCAGCACCTAAATGAAAGACTTTCTGGAATTTTCCTGCTGACAACCAGATTATCTCAGTTTTAAGACCACATCTGCATGGAACTGGATGATGAGCTACATTTAGCACAGCATCTGCACTTATTGTTTAGATACAACAATCCATTAAAATAATGGATTAAAACACTGCCTAGAGTAACTAAGGGTAGTATTTGTATTTCAAATATAGTACATGTTCCCTAAACTAACTCTACAAATATGCTTTGATGTTTTACTAGTTCGCCAAAAGTATTTACTATTAAATCATGTCAGGACAAACACTGAACTTACCTTCATTAAAGCAGTTTCACCACTGCTCTGCTTCATGTTCACAAACGCCCCAGCTTCCAGTAGAATAGCTACTGTTGTTAGATAATTCTGGAAAATACCCAAACAAAACCCCAATACCACAAGACAGGTAAATACAAAATAGTCTGGTTTTGTTTTAGAATATAAAATGACATTTATTGAAAATCCATCAGGAAAATTCGAAGCATGCTTCTGTGACACGATTACCAATGTTCTGTTGCGTGGCTAATAAGCAATTCAGACTCAGGCAAGTAAACAGCCATGAGTACTTACAATTCATACTTTTTCCTAAATCCTTCAACAGTGACCACCACAGGAAGAAAACACTGGAATCAAGCTCCTTCTTGGCCTTTTATCTACTGCACATGGGAAAACACATGGCCCAGCTTCAACAAAAGAACACAGCCATAAAAGATCCTCTAACTTACTAGTTGGTCTTAGTTTGGGAAGAGTTTGCCACTACCTCCATCTCCTAACTCACAAACAGTAAGCCCTGTTTATTCAGAGATTTGCTTCTCAAAGTCTCCCAAGTTTGAATCCTGGGCAGCCAGAGATCATAGCTACCAATTCTGACTCAAGAACTTCAGCCCCATGACAGACAAATTCAGAGTTACCCTTTGCCTCTACATTTCCTCTCAGTAACCCTGTGATACTCTCTACCTAGGGTAGGGTTTGTGATCAGAATTAGTTTACACTACAGTAACCACAGCTGCTGACATTATGCAGTTAAGGTCACTCTGCTATATCCTGCTAACTACTATTTAGGTACCATCCAAAGGAAAAAAAAAATACAAATAAAATGTGTACCACTTTTAAACTGAAGTAAAAGAGCCAAGAACTACAAATACAGTAACAAAGGCAACCTTTTCAGCCGCATGTATCAATGCGGTTGTTCCATTTTTCTGTCTCCCATTAACTTTAGCTCCTTTCCTGATTAGGACCCGGAGAAGGTCATCATGCCCACCAGCAGCAGCAAGCATTACCAGGGTCATTCCACTTGGGTCCTGCAACAAGAATCATTGCCATGAAAAATTCTAAAAATAAATTACTTTAAGATAAATCAAAGCTGCAAGACAAAAATGGCAAGTGTGTCAACAGATTTCACAAAGAGTCTCCTCCCTGGCAGAATTCACACATACACAGCTGCCAGATACTAGCAGACTATCACCTCCCACTTTTCCAGTCCACAGGTCTCGCACCCTGAGCTCCGTAATTTGCAAAACCCGTAACAGTCTGAGGACCAGAATAAGAAAGAGTAAAATCAGAATGAGACAGGATGAAATGCAGCAGGATATTTGAGGGTAGGAAGACAGCAAGACAGTGGAAAAGGAAATCAGCAATGACTGGAGACAAAACACAATGGCTCAACTCAGCTGCTACTAGAAACCTTGGATTTTATCAGTGCCAAGTATGAAGAGAGTTCTGTGAGTGGCCAGTCCCCTCACTCATTCTTGCGTTTTCCCACCAGACACTACAATTCAAAGAACACATTTGCTTCAATAGTTCACGTGGCATCTTTTCTACTAGGCCACAGAAAACTTAGCAAAATATACAGTTCTCAAAATGCTATGTAATGCAACTTCAAAAGGTCACCAGTAGAAAATACTGGCATCAGAGATTTTTGTCTTAAAAAATAGAACTATGGTGCTATTTAACAGGAAAACTCTATCCTTGGAGGAAAAAAAAACAAACAACAAAACACCAAAAAAAATCCCAACCAAACTGTAAGAACACAGCTGATACAGAACTGGCAGAAAACTAATGATTAATGGAATTAAGTGGTCCAGTCTGTCAAATAGAACATTCAAATTTTTTTCATGTATAGATGTTTTACATAGTTTAGCCACTTGACCTCAAGGTGAGACAGAAATCTGCTACTAGCAAGAGGAGAAAGCTTTTCAAACAATCCAAATTCATACTCGTCCCTCCCATACCCCTCCGATACTTCTAATGCAGAAAAATTACCTCTTGATCCAGATTATATTCCTCATTTGAGGAAAGTGCCATCTTTACTGTCATATAATCTCCACTTTTAACAGCATCCCTCAGGAGAGCTAGAAGGTAAATTTGATTCAGTTATAAGACAGTTCACTCTGAAACACTAAGATATGTCCCTTCCTCCTAGCAACTACTCACTATTTGATATCGGTTTTGTTGACAAACGATTCTCATCTTCTCCATCAAGATGCTTTTGAAAGTCTTCTAGTGTCAGCCATTCTAACTGCATGTCCATACCCAAACTCAAGACTTGTTGCTTGCCATCTATGATGCATTTGATTTTATGGAAGAAAAAATGTGAAATAAGTAATTAGCGACTTATAAACTTCCAAACCATTCTTTGCTTGCCATTGCTTCAATGATCAGCAGCATAACATACTACTACTTTTCATCCAAACAGACTCTGGAAGTCAGCGTGGAATGGTTCCAAACAATGAAGGCTGTATTACAAGCAGACATAAAATGCTTTTACTTGAAACAAACTGTTTAGTTGTTCAACTAAGATTCTGTTGAAGTGGTAAGAGATGGTGAACACTCCACTACTGCAGTAGCAGAAACACACTGGAAACACACCAAGAAGTTATCGGTGAATTTCAAAAGAACCACATCATTTCAGCCCCCTGCAGAGACAAGGATTGGAGCGCTAAAAGATGCAAGCAGGAATGGAAGAAAATATTAACTGCTAGTGCTCAGCTCTCCCCTGTATTCGTTTCTACTGCTCACCAGAGTTCTCCATTCGACACACATCCACTACTTCTCGATCACCGCCTGCAGCAATGTAAGTCCATGTGTCTGTTTCATCTCTTACGTTCCTGCTTTCCTTGTACACCTTGCTGTCTTTTGATTTTAATTCTTCTATGAGTTTATATTCTAGTGAAGATTCTTCTCTTTTGCAGTTATTCTCAGAATATTCACTTTTTTCTTCTGCAGCTACATTAAAAAAGTCAAATGCACTTTTGATGTCTTTAAAGTCTAGAATGTTAAGACAGTTACCAAGAGTGACCACTTGAGCCACTAAAGACTATTACATAACAAAGTTTAAGTGAGTGACCAGACTCCCTTCAGAAAACGGCTGTTCTCTTTCCATAAGTTAATCACTGCTGAAGTGTAGGAGCAAGCTGAACAAGCCAAAAATCAGGGACAACGAGTTCACCTCCAGCTACCCTGGCAAGTCTGAGCTCTGACTGCTTTCAACCCGGTACATCTTCATTTAAAGAAATGTAGTTTAGAATTATGCATAAATCACTACTTTGAAAATATATTTCAGTCTCTGCGATGAACAAATGAAGGACACGTGCTGTACAGCAGTTAATCATTCTGTTTGCTACTACTTTTCTTATGCATTGTGAACATCTACCCTACTTTCAGCAAAAGAAGTTTACCTAGCAACAGCTATCTGAAGCGTCATAGCTCCTCCTATATCCATTCATGATCACCAAAGGTGGAGTTTCCTAGTTTTCCTCAGTTAATCCTCATTAAGAGTAGTGAGGGAATCCTGAATAAAATCACCCAGAATTTTACTGAGATCGAGAGTGGTAATGTTAATACTCCATTATGCTATGATGAATAGAAATAAACCTAGACATTTTCCTTCATTTATCAAATCATCCAGCTCTGGTGATATTTCAAGGGTTGTATAACATAACTCATCATTGTGTCTAAAGCAAGAGGCAAGAAGTAGTTTAGGAACCTCTTAGTTTTTCTAAACACAGAAAGTATGTATTCATAGTATCATCAGAACACTTTGGGAAATACGCAATAATTGCATGAATTCCTCTAAAGAAAGATCAGTTACATGCCACAGAAGCATTTAACTGTATTAAATGAAAAAAGGGAAAAATCTTGACTTGTCTACAAAACCTCAGAGATTTCCATACACTTCCATGTTTCATACATTAAAGTATTACAGCATTCTCATAAAGCATATATTGAAAAAGCTGTTAGAAAGCAGACTTCTGCTTCCTAAAATAAAAGCAGAAATTCTTGTTTCTGGTATGTGTTTCAAAATCATACTATAACCCCTCTTGCAGAAATAAGAGAATGCCCTGAAGGGTCTGTCCCTTCTCTCTTTCAACCAGTTAGCACTTACTTTTTAGGCCCTTTTGTTCTTTTCTGCTCTTTTCTTCTTTTTCGGGCTCTTTTTGAGGTTTTTCTTTTGTTTCAGTTTTCTTTACTTCTTTCTCCTGATATTAAGGACAAAGATCAAATTAAAGTGGTAAAGAAAAAAATGGAAAATAAACTCCTTTCACCACTCCAGTGATAAAATATATTTAAAATTAATACTACTGAAACCTGAATGTAAAACATGAGGACATTCCGAAAAAAAGAAGTGAGTCAGGAGTGAAGTCTGTGAAGGATTATTCCATTAAGAGAAAAGGTTATTTCCAAAATAAAAAAACCTCACCGAAAAAAGCAAAGAGGCAGAATGCCTTCCTTGGTACCTTCTAACATGACCTTCAATGGAGCACAACCATGAGAAAGGCACACAGACAACACACTGAGAGTGCTGGCCGAAGAGCCATAAGGAAACTAACTTGCATCTGCTGTTTACTTCTTCATGTTTGGGGTGACAGAATTTTTTACTACTGGTAAATAAAATTCCAAAGATTTATCTGATTATCATACCTGATGCCTCTCTTATGAGTGCTATAGGCTCAAACTATGAGAAAATACTTGAGTAATAAAGGGCCATTTCAGTTATTTAACTTTTAAAAACTGGGCTATGCCTCACAGTAATCACTTAACCTTGTTTACCAAAGCTTTTACCACTAAGCTCCTGCAAAAACACTATTTTGGATAGCTCTCCTGTGAGATTATGCCACATAATTCTCTATCTCAGAATCAAATTCCTTATGTTTAGTAGATCATCTAAAGCACAGGACCACAGTTGAACCTACAGAAGAAACTTGCTGCCATGGAATTATGGCCTTAAAACAAATGGGATAAGATTCAAGGTTTTCTGGCTGCAATCCTGTTATGAATCAGAAAGTGGTTTCTTGAGCAGCCAAAGTTTTATGAATTGCAAAATGTGTAAGAACAGTCTGAAGAAGCTGAAAGAAATTATATTTTCAGAAACACTAAAAAAATCTGGGGGTTTGTGTTGGGTTTTTTGGGGTTTTTGTTTTTTGGTTTTTTTTTTGTTTGTTTGTTTTACTTTTACCGTCATTTCTTAAAACACTACTGTGTTCAATAAGGAAAAATAAAGATTCCAGTATTGGCTTAGCTCATTTCTTAGAACAGGTACAGCATTTGTAATTAACATGAAACCATGTCATGAAACCAAGCATTTTCTGTAAGCACCTCAGGAACTTCAACAAAACAAGCCAGCCACACAATTACCTGGGAGACTTGTGTTTAGAAGCAATTTCAGCATTCCAGTTCTCAGGGAGGTGCTAATGCACATAAGGTATAAAGGAGCTGCTGGCTTTTAAGCGAGATCAACTGTTTGGTTTAGTTCAAAAGCACACTTTATTGTTCAGCACTGGATGGATAGTTGCTCAACACTGAATATCTTACTACACAAGTAGAAAAAAGTCAAACTAAGGCAACTGTTCAAGGTGGGTGGAACAAAGCTAAAACTGACAGCATGTTTTGGAAGAACAGTAAACTGCATTCTAAGTAAATACACATAACAAACAGGAGAAATTCACACTTTCACATTTAAAGACACCCTTCCCTCCACAAGTAGTCCCTCCTTTATAGTGTTAAGAATCCAGAAATTTTTCAGTCACTCCTATACATTGTGCAGTGGGCCTTTCTTTAGCTTCATCCAGCTCATTAACTTTCTAATCTGTATGTTTCTTTGCCATCACAAACAGTAACGTTTTGAGATATCTGTACCCCGAAAATGTTTGACCTAACCCTCAGTCCTGCCCCCTCCACTCAAAGCCTTAACATCACTTACCTCCACAGCTGAATCAGTGGACTTGCATCCCCTTTCGTCAGAGCTCAATTTTAAAACCTTCTGCACTGGTGAAGGAGCAGGTGATACTTTCTCCAACTCCTCTGATACTATTTTTACTTTTTCTTGACCTTTTTGCTTTTTATGCATGTTTTTGTTCTCTAAATAGGTATCCTGAGTTTCCACTTTTTTACCTTCCTCTTTATAATCTTCAGCTTTCAGAATTACTTTCTTTTTAATTTTAACCTTATCATCAATACTATCATCTTCATTACTGGCCGATCCATCAAGATACGTATCAACAATGGAATCCTTTTCAGCAGTTTCTTGTTCTGATCTCTCTTCTCCACTTACAACTTTTTGCTTCTCATCTTTATTTTCAGAATTTAAGCCTGAATTTTCATTATCAGTTCCTTGAGAAAATACATCATCTAGAACACCTGACTCTGAGCCAAACTGAACATCTCCATCCTTCTCCTTCTGTGACTTTTTATTTTCTTTAAAATCTTCTTTAGAGTTTATCTTTAAATCTTTAACGTCTCCCTTCTTTTTCTTGACTTCTTTAGTATCTTCCTTCCTTTGTTTCTTTGGGTCCTTTGAATCCTCCTTGGTTTCTGAAGTCCTTTTTTTTGGTTTTGAATCTAAAACCAAAGTATCTGAGGAGTTTTCACATTCTGTTCTGGGTTTTTCTTTGAGTTTTGCAGACTTAGACATTTTCTTCTTCAGGTCACCTGAACTCCGATCCTCTCCATCTTTTGACTTCTTCTTTTTCTTCTTTGGTGAAACATCACCTTTTGTTTCACCTTGCCAGTCACTGTCAGAGTCTGCTTCAAATACGTCATCATTTAGAGATAGTTTCTGAAAGGTAGAGAAAAAAAGGAAAATATTTCTTTCCCCATTAAACTGTATAACTTTGGTGTAAACTACACAAAAATGGTAGTGGCAATGCCTGGTAAGTAAACTTTGAAACACGTTAATCTTTTCATCACTGCCAACATCATTCCTCATTGCCAAATTGTAAAATTTGTAAATACAATTCTAGCTCACTTACCTAAATCACATTACTAACTGCTTGGATGAGAATCAATACATACACAATTCAAATAAACCAACTGGAAACCCAACAACTAGATTCCAGAACAGAACTAGATCTGAGCTATTTTACACCAAACACTATTAATTTGATTTTGTAAAATTTACCTATAGGTTTCCTAGAAATAGAGCACCAGTTTAAAAACAAAACAAAATCCAAACTTATGCTTCATTTTCAAATTGATGCAGTTAAAAAGGAAAAAAGCCAAGTACTGCTTTCTTGCAATTACTTTTTCTGTATTCATATCTCATTGAATTAAATGGTTAACATGCAAAAATTCATCATTGTCCTACACAAAGCAGGAGGGTGAAATGAGCAGCACCCAGCTTTAGTGACAAGACAACATGCATTTTGATAGGGAAAGGGGATTGTTCATGTTGTCAAACTAAAATGATCACACATCATATACACAGTCCTATTAAAAACTGAAATAAATTCTAGACGGATTTTGAGTCTACAAGCAAACTTGCTGATTAACAAAAAAACCCAACCCTAACTAGAGAGCAGCAACAATATTCAGTTTCACATGATGAAAATGACTTTGATAGAAGAGATTCTTTTAAGTCTTCTTAATTCCACATCCCAAATGTTTTCCCTTTTCCCTCCCGCCATTAGCAGAGCCTAGATAGGGAATATGCCTTCAGTGTAAGATACTGGAAGGTGAAACATACCTGTATGTCTTTTTTAACAAGTTTAGGCTTATTGTCCACAATTTTTTTTCTGAATTCAAGCAGCACTTCCTTGCAGTCTTCCAAATGAACCTCTGGTTCCCAGGTATCATCATCAGAGGTATATCCTTTCCACCGTACTTTGTAGAGAATTTTGCCCTGTAAGAAAAAACCCAAAGCAACATTTAATACAACACTGCACAGGATTGCACCATCTGCTTAACCCCTGGGGTTACACATTCATTGCATATTCATTTTGTGTATATAGAAATGAATGGGAGTTCAACCCAATGTTGACATAAGAATTCCCAAAATTACTTCCATCTACATCACATACTGAACTAAGTAGGCTGTAAAATGCAGTAGGTGGGAGTAGTTTTATCTCAAATATTTGCAATATCTAAAACTTGTTCAGAACCACAGTTACAATCATAAATTCCCAGTTCTTTTACTGAAATAGATTTTCTGGACATTAAGAAACTTTTTTAAAAGAAGTTTAATATTTCTTCTGCAAAATTTTAAACCTTGAATTTCGTTGCTGAAGAAGTTGGTATAAAAGATTTATAACACATTAACATAATTTACCTAGTTTTATATTCAAATTTATAACTTACGTTAGATTTGTAATCAATACCGCTCTTGATAAACTGAAATATCAACAACTGGTGGAGGGGAAGACCAAACAGCAATGAGATCAAGGATCAAGTTAAACTCATACAAAATCCAAGCATGTGCATCTCAGTGGGGTTAATTACAAAGATTTTGGTAAAAGATTATGTACAAAAGCCCTAGACCAATTGTTTCAACAGTATTTGACTCCACCATGGGATGAAATTGCACCTTTTAGTCTCTAGCTTATTTTTTTCACTAGATTAGAAAGTTATTTACATATTCTAAAAAAAAAAAAAAATAAATAAGGCAACAAAAAAGAAGCTTCCCACCAAATTATCTCTTGCCTTTTTCCTAAATAAAGTGGTATGAATCCTTACATTTTTCAAGATGGACTACTTTTCCTACTGAATGGCCTCCTGCATCAAGCTTAACTGAAAAGCAGAGATACACCAGACAAAATCAATGCTGTCACCTTTTTAAACCTGCCATCTTGATCATTCAATGATTCTATTGTATTACAAGTCATTATCATAAAGTACAATGAGACAAAAACCTTAGCCCAAGCCCCACACTTGAAAAACACTAATACAGCAAATACCGACTGGAAGTAAGATACCATATACTGAAACTGTGAGATCAAGAGGAACAACCTTGAGAGCCAATAAATCAGCATTGTGATGAGTGACTACTAATCCAGGCAGATCTGTCGTTATCTCAACCCTTCGCGCCCCACGTTGGGCGCCAAAAGGAACTGTGGTGGTTCAAACCCAGCCAGACAGCTTGTTCACTCACTCTCCCCCTTCTTGCCCTCCCCATACTCCCGGAGGGATGGAGAGTAAAAAAGAATGCAACTCCCATGGGTTGAGATGAGAACAGTTTAGTAACTAAGGTATAACACAAATCACTACTGCTACCACCAATAGTAACTAAGATAAAGGAAATAACAAGGGAAGAGAATACATCACCTCACCACCAGCCAACTGAGAACACGCCCCACCCCCCCAGCCCGACCAAGCTCTGACCCGTACCTCCTCCAACCCTGCAGTCTCCCAGCCCTTCCGGCTAACTCCCAGTTACATCCTGGGCATGACGTGCTGTGGTATGGAATACCTCTTTGGTCAGTTTGGGTCAGGGGTCCTGTCTCTGCTTCCTCCCGCCTTCCCCTCCTCCCTGGCAGAGCATGAGGCTCACAAAGTCCTTGGCCAAACCAAAACATCATTGTTATCAGCTCTGTTCCCAGGCCGAAAGTCAAAACACTGCACTGCACCAGCTACCAAGAAGGAGAAAAATGACTGCTACTGCTGAACCCAGGACACATATCTATGAAAAAAGCTAGCACCAAATCTAAGGAAATCCATTATCCATATTAAAAAAAAAAAGCTAATGATGAATACAAGGCAATAGAGCCATTCCTGAACTTATTAAGAAAAATAAATGATTCGTAAATGTACTACAGAAAGCATCTCTAGAGAGGAAAACAGCAGTATCTCTTTCTTTCAAAACCAGGTTGAAAATGTTCTGAGAGATCCTATAGTGCTAACCAAGCCTGGAAAAGGAAAGCTTTGAAAGAACTGCCATTTGACACTTATTATTAAATGTATTTATATCCAAAAATTTACATTTTTGCCTGAGCATTATTAACCTTTGACCAAATGTCATATGTGCCATTAAACTTTAGCAATCAACTCTACTTACAGTCTTCTGTATTCACTTCACAGACGAATAAATAGCCTATATTCAGATACACTGGTATAATACCACCTCTTTTATAATTTAGCTCTAACCATACACTTCTGATTCACAAATTACCTTTCAAAATCATGTTCATCTCTCTCTTTCTTGTAATGGGGTTACTCATGAAATAAACAACTAATAAGTTTCTTAATACAGTCACAGAATAATTTAGATTATAAGGAATCTCTGGAACGAACAAGTAAAGTGCCTTGCTCAAAGCAGGACCAACTAGATCAGGCTGCTTAGAAATCTGTCCAGTCTATTTGGATTTCCCTGTGTTCCAGCTTATGTTCACGGTACTCAGGATGCACCTCAGCAGTGCTTAGAAGAAAGGAAGAAGTATCTCCCTCGATCTGCTGGCCACTCCTGGATGCTGCTGGCCTTCCTGCTGCAAGAAAGGCTGACTCATGCTCATCTTACTTGTCTGTGGGGACTCACAGTTCCTTTCCTACAAATCTACTTCCTAGCCAGCTGGCCTCTCAGCTGCCTGGTGGTACCAGGTTATGCCAATTCAGATGCAAGACTTTAGTCAGCTGCAGAGTTACTGTTACACCCTTGTAGATCAGGTACAAAATGAGTTAGAAGTCCTTTTTTAATTAACTGGGACAGCTGGATTAAAATAACTGTAAGACTAGGTGGCTGGTAAATGATGTTTTCTTTAGTGGGCCATGTTAACATTTCATTTATCAGTAGGTCTAACTCCCCAAGCCAATCCATCCCAGGAGTGCTTTCTCTCATGCTGCCACTATTACCAGCTCCAGCAACATCAGGACTGCAAATGAAGAGGCCTTCTCTGCACAGTGCTCTGCTGCTTGCTTCTGCAACTGAGACACATGAACACAATGACCAGCCTGTGCTGTTCAGCTGAACATGCTGTGCTGCACAGTGGCTGTGTACCTGCTTGGACTCTGGATCAGACTTGGGAACCTGCAAGCTGGGAACCACTAGTCTAAAGCCAACTACATAAAATACATTTCACTGAATGTAACACAGCTTTTTTCCAGACGTTTTGGAAGATCTGGGAGAAGGTATCTGTCCTGTCCTATGTTTCTGAAACACAGGGGCACAGCCCCCAAAGAGCAACAGAAAGGTGAACCATGCTACAAAGCTACAACCAACACAGCCTGGGTAAGGCACATGTAATACAGCGCAAGGCACACACATACAATAAAGCCAATTGCACTGACCCAGCCTGGAAGCCTCAAGTGCATACAGCTCAGAACCTGCTACAGAATGGGAATGCAGTGTAGAATGGTTTGATGACACACCCCCCTCCAGATTTTAGGTTCCACTGCAGGAGAAAGGGGTAGGGAAGAAAAGCCCTCTTGCTTTCACACCTGACTTACCATTTTGACCAACACTTCATAGAGACAAAGCTGTAAGCCCTGTATTACCTCAAAAGCATAAGATTCTTAAGCCATCAAGATACTTTACCCAAGATACAATCTAACTGTAAGAGCATCACAAAAATCTAAGAAATTCTTGATTTGAAGGGTTTCCAGCTAATGGTTTTGAAACCCTTATGTTTTACACTAAACAGACAGAATTCTATACTACCATGTACCAGACTGAGGCATAAACAAAAAACATAAACTAAAAAATCTGTAGGCATTAAATCATTAAAAAAAAACCAACAACTGTGATACTTATTTTTTGTATTTGAGGTTTAACAAATTTCACAAAATCTTCTACCTGTCTAGGATATTTTGAAGAAATAAGAGATTATATGATATTTTCTGTCTAAAAGCAAAGATCACCACAGCCAGTTATTTTAATTGGAAGTATCTCTTATTTTAAGAGGTCCTTACACATTCTGTAAGTGAGTAAACATAGTTTCACTAAATATACACTGAAACCACATGCAAGTTCTACAATATATTAAATCCTGCTCATTTCTGCGCACACACACCTTACACTGAAACACTACTGCAGTTCACCCATAAGAACAAAGAGTAGTTTAACAATACAGGCAAAAAAAAAACAAACCAAAATAATTTACTAAAGGTACTCCACATCTAGTCGCTTTAGTCAAAGCTGTAAGACACAAAAAGCTTCCTTGCAAGATTACGCACAACGTGGCTTAAGTTACAGTTTTAAGGGAACTGCCATTGTTTTTGCAACAAGACTCGTGTGGGGAAGCCAGCCCGCAGAGCTGCCAGCGCCGGCGCTGCCCGCTCCGTCTGCGCGCCCGGCAGCGAGAGGAGCGCGGAGCACGCCAGGCGCACCAGGGCTCGCCCCGCTGCAGACGCATGGGTACCAATCGCTCCCGCCTCTCGCGCGCCTCCTCGGGGAGCGCGGCAAAACCCGGCCCCGGGGCAGCCGCCGGCCCTGCTGACAGGCGGCGGCGCGGCACGGCGCACTCACCCCTTCGGTCTTCACGTCTAGGATCTTCTCCACCTCGAACACATCCACGTCCTCTCCGTCCTCGTCCTCCTCTTCTTCCTCGCTCTCCCCACCCGCCGCTGCCGCCGCACCCACTGCCTTGCCAGCCCGGCTGCGGTCTCGCTCCTTGTCCTCCTCGTCCTCCTCCGCCGCAGCCGCCGCCGCCGTCTCCTCCTCTTCCTCCGCCCCCTTCAGCCTGGCCGCCGCAGCCGCCGCCGCCTCAGCCCCGCTCCCAGCCGCCGCCGCCGCCATCTTGGGCCGAATTTCAAACGACAACGGTGAAAAGCGGGTGCGACACCTCCGCGAGCGAGGAGGGGGGAAGCGGCTGCCGTATCCAATCGGCGTCCCGCAACCCGTGACGCACGAGGGCGGGGCCAAGCCCGGCGGCCTTCGTGCCCCCCGCGGGGGGCTGGGAGCGGCCAAGCTTGGGGCTGGCAGCAGCGAGAGCCCCCGGTGGGGGGTCCGGCTGAGTGGGGGCGGTGCTGGCCTAGTAGCCGCGGCCTCCCGCCAGGCGCCCCCAGAGGCGATGGCGATGGCGATGGCAGCTCCGGTTCCGCCCGCCCCAGGGCTCCCTGTCCTGCAGCCCGGTGCCGTCCCTCTCCGCCCGCCGCTGCTGGCCGTCGCGGGTTAGGGCGGGAGCCCCGGTCCGGTCGGCGAGGGGCGAGCGGCGGGTGACCGCTGGAGGCCGGCGACGTGTCTGCAAGCTGGCCCGGGGGCCCCTGCCTCGCAAGCATGAGCGAAGCCCCGCTCGACCCCGCCTGGCACAGTAGCCTCTCCGGAGACAGGAGGTGGTTTCCGTGACCGGAGGCGCTCGGGGCGCGTCCGCGGTGTGACCTTTCAGCCTGGAGATGGGGTGCCCCAGCCTGTCCAAATATAAAGACGGCGTGCTTGATTCCCAGGCAAAAAGGTACTTGCCTTCAGCTGGATTGAGGGCTTGGGGAAACCCACAAGAAATCCGTACATGGACATTTTTGGATGAGGTCATGCTGGCGAATAGGGCTTCTCACTGGGGAAAGGAAGCCTTTTCAATTCCAGTGTTTTGCATGTTAAAAGAATTGCCTATGGGCAAGTGCAGTTGTGGTTTGTTTTTGTTAATGTATCATGCAGGAGAAGGAAAGACAGTCTGGTAAGAAAACCAAATAAACCACACCCCATCTGCTTTTCAACTGCCTTTGCTAGAGCCGTTGTTAACATAGCGTATCGTAGAAACAGTTTCTTAAAGAACACATGCCACTCAAATAAAACTTGGCTATAGCATAAATACATGCGGTCTGTGCATACTTGTATGGGATGTGTCGTCGCAACAGTGAAAATGCCGAACTCTGAATAATAAACTGCAGTGCAGGGGAAAAAAAAAGTTTCAATTAATATCTTTGCCAGTGATTACTTTCTAAGGTAAGTCTAGTAATCATAGAATCATAGAATATCAGGTTGGAAAGGACCACCTGGTCCTTGGCAACAGGGGACCTAAACTGGATGTCTCAGCACCCTGTCCAGCTGAATCTTAGAAGTGTCCAGCACCAGGGAGTCCACAAGGCAGCAATTGACCATACAAAGATGTAACAGCAGTTTTAGAAGCTGTTTTATTGTTGTCTATATTAAGGAATCTTTCTAACTCTTAGGAAGCCCATATTCTAGCTTTTCTCAAATACATACTACAAATCTTTCCTTTGTATTGTTACTAAAAAGACCCGCTATCTTTGCACACATGAAAACAAGGATCCAGAGCACCTCAGAGCAGAAGGACTTCTGGATATCCATCTTAGCAACCTCCTTTATAAGATCACGTGTATCTGCTCCATCCTTGGCAGATGTTTGCTTAAATTCTCATGACAACATCTATGAAAGAGATTCCACGGTTTTCCTTAGTAACTGCTTACAATTCTTCTTTATTATTGCTGGGGAGCATTCTCCGTTTGCTAGGGCAGTGTAACACATTATCTATGGTGCCTGTGGAATCTCCTGCTTCTGAATATTTTCAGTGGTTGGACAAACAAGTGTACAGTATGTTCTGTACACACTTGATCTTGCCTTAATGAAAGCAACTGTACCAAGACTCTTAACTACATTTCTTCAGATCACAAAGTACCACAGTGTGATTCTGTGCAGCTCCTTAATTTAGAAGAGGTAATGTGTTCATTCAAACACTGGTGAAAACCCCATTAAATTAAGTTTTAGTCTGATTTTGTTATTAGGTTTCAGTGTTTGGTCTGGTATAAAATAAAACCAATCAGTTAGGTTTTTTGTAAGAATAAAATCAGAATACAGAGTAATGCCAGGGGAAAAAAAAACAAAAACATTCTTCCTCACAAAAGTGACCCATGTATTCACAAATTTACCTATGATCAATAAAAAAACAGTGCAGAAGAAAAATAATTGTTCTGCTATTTGCATTTCAAGGCACACTGTAGAAGTTAGAAAACCAACTGAAACCACTGTTACATTATTTATCACTGATACGATATTTATTATGTTTTGTAATCACATTCTTTTATCTGTCAGAATATCTCCTGCCATATTTACCTGGTTATGTTTTCTTTACCATGTCATTAAAGAAGCATGTATGATTTTAGGAGAAATTAAACCGAAGTTATTATTAAAGTACTTCATAATGTCCAATGAATCAGAGAGTAATGTACAAAAAAAAAGAAATTATAAGGTGTTTTTAAACAGAATTACAAGTAATACTACATATATGTAAAATCAAGACTTGCTAACTGTAAGATCCTTTATTTCCATATCTTTAAGTCTGTGACGATGAGAATTAATATTCAGTAGTAGGGTAAGATCAAGCATCCTCAATTTAAACATTTATGTAAAATTGCAAGAAAAACTAACTGCTATAACCGTAAGGAATTAAGTGATTAAATAGTTTAAGTAGAAAGAAAATGGATGTTAAATAAACCCATTATCCAATATCTTTTGGTAGCAGAATCCAAGTCTTTCTGAATTTCAAGTCAATAGTAAATAGATTGAAACCACTTCTCTTCTTATCCACTCTATTGCTTTCTTGATAACTCAAAAGCCCAATAAACATCACTGTGTGTAGAAATAAAGTTTTATTATAATAGTATCTTGTAAATCCACCAAAGGAGCAAGAAGAAAATAATTTCTTCTAGCAATAGCTTTTTTAAAGAGAAAATTTGCTGTAGTGTAATGATCCAGCCAGTATAAAATACCATCTGATGAAGAAGACATCATCATCTGAGCTGCCCTATCTTTTTAGAATCGTCCATGTGGGAAGTATATAGACTCATTACTTGCATTTATTTGTACTATTTCAGTCACCACAGTGAAGTACTATGCATTTCATAAAGGCAAACTTAACTCCTTCTCTGTACATTCATATATGTTAGAACTGCTTTCATCCAGCAGTCAATACAATTTTGTTTGTATTCTGACTAGAGCTGCCAAAATTATACAACCAAATTTTGCCCTCTGTCACGGAGTTTTAAAAGAGGGAGGAAGATTTCCAGGGCTCTCCTAACTCTTTCTGTATCCTGTTCATACATGCTCCGTAAAGTATGAAGTGTGTAAAGCTTCCCATTTTGGCACAAGGAATCTTTTGGTGGCCGGGGCAACCCAGATTCGCTGGGGGCCTATTTCTTCATGCTTCTTTTAAGACCTTTCTTTTCCTCTGTACAAAAAAACTTGCCAGCTGGTAATTGTTCACCCCCAAAGAAAGGGAATTTCTAGACACAGGGACCCTATATTCAAAAAATAATAGAGCAGTGGGACTTACGGAAATGAGGGGGGTGGGATTCATTAGGAGCCAGCACCAGCACTCCCCACAGGAAAGGGTCGAAGTTGTGCCGTGAAGAATCAGAATATTTTCTTTCTGTCCAGAATATTTTAGTTTATGCTTATGAAGAACACCAAGCTATAAATTTAATCCTAAAAAGGGGTGCAGGTCAACAGGCACAAGTTACATGAAGGAAAAGTCCAACACAAAATAATCTGTATTAAACACTGGAAAAGGTTGCCCTTAAAAAAGCTGACATAGATAAATCTCCATTCCGAAAGACAGTTAAAACTCAGCTGAGCAAAATCCTGACCAAGTTATCCAACATCTGAGTTGTCTGTGCTTTAAGGAAGAGATCATATCCAACATGAATTATTCAATGCTAAGAAGTACATAATACCTTTTACTACTTTCTGTGTTTCTTGATTTTTTGTATCGTATTTTCCAAAATATACTTTCCTCTATCCATCCTCTTGAAAGAAACCCTGTGCCACCAATATGGTAAATACCTTCCGTTCTCTTTTCTACAGCCATATCCTGTAATTGACTATTGATAACTAAATTAATCTTCTGTATGTTGAAAAGGTTTATATTACTACATAAAATTATAAGGTTTTATTTAAAAGCACACCTTGAATTAGATGAACCATCCAATTTCATCAGTGCTCTTTGAGTTCCTTTGTGCAGCATATGAATTGTAGTACAAGAAGAATAGCAATCAGCTGCAATAGCTTTTCTATTTGGGCCTTAATGAAGAAGAAAGGGTAAGCAGTATTACTATTTAAATGATTTCTTGACAACAGAAAATGTACTTTCTGCAAAGAACTCCGTATCACTTTAAAACAACAGTTATCCCAGTGCTATTTAATTACTTCACCATACAGTCACTACTGTCGAGAGTATTCACATTAGTGATTTAACAAAGATGTTCTTGAGTTGCAAACTTCAACATTTTAATGTTTTGTTGGGATTTCTGCAGTTTGTGTTTGCTTGGGTTCTGATCTACTTAGATTTTGATACATAGGCCAAAGATTCAGGACACTGAAAATGTATTTGGCAAGAGCAAAATATACACAGGAGAATTACCTTTAAATACTTTTTAAAAAACTTACACAAACACAAAAAGTGAAATCCACATAATCAATTTAGGTGATTCAAATATGAAACTTCAAAAACTTTGATATACCAGCAAATGTCTACAATTGACCTGGAATGTTATAGTTAGCCTACCTGGTAGACTGCCAAACAGGCTAGGGAATATGGCCTGCTACACTTGGCACTATCTCCTGCGTGTGAACCCTGAGATACAGCAACAGTTCTGCACATCTCCACGGCCTGCTTTCAGTAGTTCTGTATATGTCACTCAAACAACAGCCAGAATTGCAGGAGGAGAAACCTATGCTTTCATCCATTCCCCTAGGAAATAATACGCCAGACACTAGCCCTACTGCAGCACTTTCTCTACTATGTGGGTTTACTCATTTAACACAAACCTTTTTTATTGTATCCTACAAAGAAAACTTTTTTTAACTACATCAGTTATGAAATA